AAAGAAATACTGATCTACAGATGAAGAGAAAGATCCAAATCAACTATATCTTTTTCTTTTACATAATCTATATTCTCTGGAGTAAAAACACAGGCTTCATCCTTAGAGCGACTTGCACCTTCAATTTCAGGCTTAGCATCCTTATTAAAAAGAAGTATTTCTTTCTTTTCCAGCATATCTTTTTCATAAGAGGCAGGTGGAATAAAGTTAATGGTAGCTCTTTTTGGGGAATTGATCCCAGCAAAGTTGTCTTCGACTTCACTTCTGTTTTGCTTTTTAACTCTCTCAGCAATTTGCTCAACATTATAATTATAATTTTTGTTTGAACTCACAAGATGTGTTTCAATATTTGAGTTGGGAAAGTTGTCGGTGTTCATTCCAGAAAAGTGATTTGGGCTATTAAATAAACCAAATTCAGTCTTATGATAACTTGGGAATGAAGGATTTGTGGCAAAAGCTGAATTTGAAAACTTACCATCATTATTTTTAGTTTTTTTAAGATTGTTACTAAAAGACTTAGAAAAACCCTCTATAAAAAATTGTGGACTACCAACACCAAATGGATGGTTTGCAGTAGAGCTTGCACTTGGTGTACAGCTTGTAAGATTAATAGAAGAACTCATATGAATTGGATTGTTCACAGATTGAGTAGAGGGCATAGATGCTTTAGATTGAACAAACTTTGCCAAGGATGCATTGCTATTTCTTGTAGAAGGATAATTGGGAGACATGAATAATGGGGTGTTGTCTTCTTGGCCATTGTTGTTGTCATAATAACTTCCTGCATTGAAAATGTTTAGTGATTTAACTTATAGCAAATAGAAAATAAAAAAAAAAAGCCCTCGCTTTACCTTTCATTGCAAAAGGATTGTTTTTAGTATCTCCAAAAGAAATTTCTTTTGGAGCATTCCAACATTCAGCACTAGATTTGGTGATATCCATTGAATTGTAGGAAGGAATCACATCAATTTGCTTAACTTGCTGCTTATTCTTACCTTGATGTGTCTTTTGATGTCCTCTACGAGCTTGACAACTGCAAATTACTCTTTCACAACCAGAGCAAACATAACCCTTACCTTTCTTCTTAGCATCTTTATCAGAAGCTAAAGAAAGATTAATGATTAAAGTAAAAACTAAGAATTTCAACATGAATTTAATAGGGTCAGAACCGATCATCTTCAAGTGAGGAAGTATGTCTATAGTTCAACCTTATTTATAATTGTTTCGAGGAAAGATATTGATCTAGTGTGAATGCTATCTTAAGAAACGGACAAATTTTAATAAAAATCATTTATGATAAAAATTATTTTAAAATAGAAAGGCTTCTTATATGAGAGTAATTGCTTTCATATATATATATATATATATATATATATATATATATATTTAATGCACACATATGTCTAGAATAATTTTCCATTCAAATTAAATAATAATTTTTCATTCAAATTAAATCGGTTAAGTCTAGATTTTTAAGCTTTGTTAAAGAGTTAAGAGGAATAATGAAGAAAAATAGTTGAAGGATAAAAGAAGAAGTGAAAGAAGGGGAATTAGAAAAAAAAAAACTCTTCTTAAATTAAAATTATGAATTAATAAGAAATTTTGGAAGGTTTAAAAAAAAATTTCCTACATTTTAAAATTCTCAAATAAAAGTTTCCATTAAACAAATATTTTCCTTTTCTATCTCTGTTCATTAAAATGATCTCCTAAACAAATATTAAAATGCAAGGTTGTTATTCTTGATAGAATAGTAATCCTTAATTATTATTTTTTTCACTTTTTATAATTCATTAGAGGAATAATTTGTCTTATTATATAAGATTTTACTGTAATTGTTTTATAAAGACTTTCTCTAGATATGTTCTCTCATTTTAATAAGATTAAAATATAAAAGTCGTGTGATAATTTTAAGAATTTACATAACTTTTAAAATTTTAATTTTTAAAAATATTTATATATGATTGTGCAGTTTAAAATTTTTATTATTATTTGAATAAAAAATTATATTCTTATATAAATCTCCTAGTGTAAATGTTTCTAATCTTATTGCCTAAATTGATTCAATCATAATTTATTCAATGACCAAACTTTCTATACATGTAAATTTTGATTGAAAAAAATAGAATTTTGATGTGTTGTACTAAATTTATAATTAATACACACAAATTCTTTTAACAGTTTATTCTCTAGCTTCAAAAGTAAAAAATAATTAAAAAATATTCATTTTTGTATAACAATGACATTATTATAATTTTTATTTCTTTTTAAAATATAGGGGTATTTATAGTTCAATTTTGTTCAATTTTCATTTAAAAATTCATCCAAATTGAATATAAAAATAGTGTGTAGTTTAGTTTAGTTTAAAAATAATATCAAAACCAAACTAACTTGAGATTTTATTTTATAATTCAATTTTTGATTGATTTATTTTATTTTAATTTTTTAAATGAATTTTATTTTTATAAAATTTATATTTTATATGATTTTTAATTAAATTTTAAATTTAAACTAAAGATTAGCATGGTCAAAGTGTGTTTGTTGAAAAAGAATTAAAAAAATTCTAATTAGAAGGATAAAAATATATTAAAAAAATGAAGTATTTATTTATAAAGAAAGAGTATTCAATTATAAGAATTGATAATATATAGTAAATAAAAGTGTTATAACTTATATTTATATAATATTATGATAATATTTAAGAAAGCAATGGTTTTTATATGCAATTTTAATAGAAAAATAATATAAATAAACTATGGGTGTGTTTTAATTAGGTTATAACAAGGGGGACCGAAAACCAAATCGAATCACAATATAAAAAGCTTTTTTTTTCGGTTTGATTGATTTATTTATTTATTTTTATTAATTTAACAGTTCGAAAACGGTTTGATTTAATTTTTAACTTTCCTATTAAAACATATGATTTAATTATTGTGTAATGGGAAAAACTCATACAATAAATTTATATTTTATAGACATACAATCTGGTTGTCACCCACTTTATAATAAATAAGATATTTATGGTTGTCACCCACTTTATAATAAATAAGTTCTTATTTTAAATATAAAGACTTTATAACAATATATACAGTTTATCGTGTAATGAATAATACTTTTAATCAAAATTTATAGACTTTTATTACTAAAAATAAATAAATATTATTTTTAGGATAAAAATTACCGTAGTTTTATAGTAACTGAAAATAATCATATTTTAAAATTTTGTAATTTGACTTTAAATCTCAAGAAAATAAAAAAAGAAACACGTCATTCAATGTTATTAATCGGTTACCTAACAATTTTAAATATAAATTTTAAAAATTAAATAAAAAAGAGACATACAATGCATAAATGACGGAAGATGACGAAAACAAAAAAGGACAAAAGAGTAGTTAGAAGGAAAAAAAAAGTTATATTTGACATAAAAATAACAATACGTGACAACTCATTTCAACTTATCTAAACTTACTACAAAAAACTAATTTCATTTTAGTTTTTTATTTTTCTTCGCATTTTAGCTTCTTTTAATTATTCACACATGTAACTCATTGTGAACTTAAATATTAGAGTGTCTCTACAATTGAGTCATGTATTGTGAAAGGATCCTAACTACATAACAGGATCCACTTCAAAGTATAATTAACACAGGTATTTTGTATTTAAGTTTTAATATACCTATATTTTTCTATCATTAAGGGTTAAACTCCAGTGGTTAGCAAGAATAAGTTTACAAAATAAAAGGCCTTTCAAATGTTATAAATTTTTACTTCCAAAGGGTTAGCAAATACTGTAATACACACATGAATATGTGGCAACATGTAAAAGCAAAATTGCCTTTTTTTATATGAGGATGTAAGAACGTACCTTGATAATTGGAAATTACCATAAATGTTCAATATTAAAATATAAAGGTTATATGGTAATTTAAAAAGTAACATAAGTTTTTAAGTGGTTGTGACTTTTTTTAAATTTGACCAGATTAAATCTAAGTTTATTATTGTCATGGAAAATATCATTTTCCTAAATACATCTGCAATGATACTAAGTAAAGGTTGAAATCAGATGACTTTTATCAATTTTTTATTTTTAAAGATAAAAATTTTACATAAGTCATATGACTTCTCTTGTATTGCATTATATATTTTGTTATTTTAATTTTTTTTTAATACTATAGTCTCTTTTGATTCAATCATAATCTATCTATTTTTTAATGACAAAACTGTTTTGTATTTGTAAAAAAAAAATTAATAAATTCTATAGCGCTCTATACAATGAGAAAATATTTTAATAAAGTTGATTGTTTATTAAAAAAAAACGTAAATAATGTTTAATTTTTAAAATATTAAAAATCACAACTTTAATTCAGAAAAGAGAGTATAAATGTTTCCTTAAATTTAAGAGTACACGTATGCTTAAAATAATATTTTGATATGTCATATTAAATTTATTGCATATACAAACAATTTATTCTTAGTTTCAAAATTTTTCCACTTTAATTAATTTTAATATGACAAAATAAAATCTTATTTTTTTTATAATAATGAGATCTATTATACTTATGTGCTTAGATAATTTAAAAGATGCAGTAAGCCTTAATTTCTTCAATTAAGCTCTCACTTGTATTAATGATGAACTTGTAAACTATTTTAATTTTTGCACCCATTTCCTATTCGACTCACATCTTGAACTAAGGGGAAATAATGTGTTTTCTACGACCAAAAGTTAACCTAACCAAAAGATTCTTTTATATATATAATTCAATATTAGAACACTTCAGCGGCTGAACTTACGGGACCGATTTACGAAAAAATTGGTTTTCAAACTTGGGTGACTAAAGGCCTGTTTACTTCAATTTACTGTTAAAAAATAATCACTTAATTTTATCTGTTTGAGTAAAACTCTAATTTTCCGTGTTTAGATTTGCTTCTTTCGTACTCTCAGACTTGTAATCAAAATGTTCAGAGAGATCCTTCGGTTGAAAAGCTACTCAGTGGAAGAATTAACCAAAAACAAAATTACTAAAACGGGAAAATAAACGGACTACAAGATAGTGCAAACAATGTTTGAATGCAGCATAAACTGCCTAAAACACAAGCAGCTCGCCATGTTTCATGATTTCATCCTATGACACGTTAAGAGAACATAACATCTGACAAATGCATACATATATCACGGAACCCCCTACTCGTTCAGTTTACAAATTTTCTAATGGTCACCATATGTAATAAGCACAATATAAAAGAAAAAAGAAGGAAGGAATAAATATATTCAAAGGCACACTTCATAAGTTACAGTCATAGAAGTTGGAACACCAAAAAATTGAATTTCATCTTTGTTCTTGTAGCTCGGCATCTTCTACTCTTTACAAATAATTTCATCTGGAAACACTCAGAGATCTTACTTTTTGGCCCTTTTGGAGTCACCCTTCTTAGGTCTTTCTGTTCGGTGTTTTCTCTTGGAGGTACTGCTGTCCACCACAGCATCAGGGGAAGACTGAGGTGGCACATGATGCCCATGAACCACAGCAGGGAACCCAGCAGCAGAGGTTCTGCAACATGAACATGATCAATAAATATCTTTAAACAAATTACATCTAATTATAATGAGCTGCATTTAGTCAGCGTCATAAAACTCTTTCCCTATGATTGTCACATAGGACTTGGGTGATTCTTTGTTGACATCTCAAAATCAATTTTCCATTCAGCAAGCATAATCGCAAATCTTCTTGTTTTATGAGTGGTTTGGAATTTGCAAGTTACTAATATGTTCTTACTTTTGGCATAGCATAAATGGCCTATTTGGAGGAGCTTATGAACTCCTTATAAAAAATAACTTATGATGATCATAAGTTTTTTTCAGCTTATTTCAACAAGGTTTTTACTCATCAAAATAAGTTGTTTTCAGATTATATTGATAAGTTTCGATGATAATTTTAGGAGGTTCAAAAGTAATTTTGAGATTCGACATTTATTTAAACTAATTTTACTACACGGAAAATAAACATAAATGAATTACTCAGAACTTCAGTCTTGCATAATCCATTAAAACACCAAAAGAAAATACAAACCATCCCGTCCACAATAAGATTAAGAAATCATAGTCATAAAATTTAAAAAAAGAATACGTAGTTAGCAACTTAAAAGGCTTAGTATCAGAGGAAGATTCAGGCTCTCACACTCGCAAATTTAATATCAAATTAGCATGGTTATATTGATGCTGTGACAACTTTGGTCATTGTAGATAAGCGTATAATATAAAGCTAATAAATGAAATTGTAAAACATGTGCACAAGATTAACTCCAGATTCCAGAAAACAACCAAATCATGCAACCAAATTAATCAACAAAGCTGCTGTTATCTTCCAGATCAGATGATTTTAGTCATTGAATTACACTGTCCAAAACTTAACAGCAATGAAAACAACAAAAAGCAGAGGCAACATGATTTGCAATCACAAGCCTTACCCAACAAGAGCACAGCAGACTCCTGCATGGTCATGGAAGCACCAAATGAGCCACGCGATTGCAAGCATAGCCGCAAAGCATGGTTCTCAGCATAGCAGCACTGGAGCAAATGCCCCAGTCTTCTGCATTCCCCTTCATAATACCTACTCTTCGTCTCCAGGTTTTGTACATACAATTTCTTCCTCTCTCTTGATCTCACAGCAGCATCTCTGTTCCTCAACTGCCTGAAAGTCAGACGTTGAGCAAAACTCTTTAGAACCATAACCATCATAACACCCCATCAAATTCCATTCCCAATCAAACCACAAAACAAATACAACAAGGATCTTGCTTACCATAGCCATAACAGAAATTTTTTATTGCAAATCATGCAGAGAGTGCATCAGAAATCACAGTGAGAGAGCATTAATAACACTTTCTAATAAATGTTTTCTACAATTTTTTTTTTTTTTAATAAAAGAATGTTTTTACTTTAGATTCCTCGTCCAGTGTTCTTCTTAGGACCCTTTTTAGCATTTTCCATATAACAGACAATCAAGCCAGCAAGCCTTATTCCACTAACTCCTATCTGGAGCCAACTACATGAATCAATAAATCCACAATCATCTGAATGCATGTAAATCAAATTAATTTTATGAACGATATTACACTGACGAGTACTATATTCTATCAAAGTAAATTTGACAACACATTACTACATTCACCATAATTCTACCCCGTAACCAGCTACATCAAACATTAAAAAACTTATAAAACAAATCCAGTACTTTCAAATAAAAAAATACAAGCAAAAACGAAGATATTCTACAAATCTAAATTCGGTAACAAATTACTTATTATTACATTGAAATTTATCAAATCCTGGTCTCAACATCATCAAACTGCAACAATATATGTATTCTGACTATCCAAGTCCATTAATTACAGAGATTTTCCAAAAATAAAAACGCAGAAAAGTCTGAATTATAAAAAAGCTCCAAATAATTTGATTTTTATTTATTTACCTTCTTTGCTTCTTGGACAAGGGTTCATCGGGAGATGCAGCATCAACGGTTCTATCTTTATCGGACCCATCCTCTGACTCAGTCCTCAAAAGCTGACTCTCTGGTCCGTCCTCGGGATCCACCAGAATCTCAGCGAGAAGCTTGCTGTATTCGGACTCGGAGGGCGGCGTTAGGGGACAAACGACGTCGTTCAGATCATCGGTCATGAGCAAGTTCTCGATCTCGGAGAGAAGGGGTGGATTGTGGTCGTCGTTGATGCTAAGGGGAGCGTTGTCGTTTTGGGGAAAATCATGGACTTGGAAATCTGGAAATTGGTCGATAAACGCTTCCCAATCGAACGGGGAGAGAGGGTCTTGTACGGTGTCCATGCGATCAGAAGAGTTAGTTTAGGGAAACGGTTGAATGAGTGAAGATAATATTAATCCGTTGTGACTTGGAGGTTAAGGAAACAGAGTCATAGGTGCAACTGCGTGGATCCCTTGGTGCCGTCACTCTACCAATGGGATCGCGTATCGTGGAATCTACTTTACACGTGTGTAAACCACCCAACATTTTTTTTATGCTTTTTTTAATTTTGCCACCAAATTCATATTTTTTTAGTCATGTCTAAAAGATGTTTACAAATAAGTCTTTAAATAAAAAATATATTTTTAAAATAATTTCTTAGGTCAACTTTTGTTATAACATTATTATTTTATATTTAAATATTTTTTAATTTTAATTTTAGTATTTATAATATATTTTTAATTCTTATAAAAAATTATTGTTTGTTAAAAGTTATTATTGTTTTTCAATGAGATTTGTAGTGGTATAAAAAGAAATATTTGTGAATTCACCACCAAAATTACGTGGTTTTTTAATGATTGGTTAAATATTAAAAAAAATTAATTAGTTGACGGAAATCAATTCATAGTAGTGCTATACATCTTTCGTCAAATTTAGTTTCATACTATTTTGGATTTTTCTTTTCAAATTAAGAGAGCAATGAAAGCTGTTTTTTTTTAATTCTTTCATTTAATAAACTAAATTGTACATTTAAATTTGTTTAGAATTTTAAGTTCAATTTCGATAAATTACTAATTTTATGAACAACTTAAATATAATCTTTTATGTGTTTTTCTTTAATTAAAATAAAAATTTTACCTTAATAATTAATATAATAAAAACTGAGATTAAAAGTAGACACTAATTTCAGAAATAAAATTTTAATTATAAAACACTAAAAGTATTTAATGCAGATATATGCATTTTATTCTTAAATAATCCCATAGATAATCTCTCATGACTATATTAATCTTATATAACACAAAGTTACAAAGGATGGTAAATGTTGTTATTTTAAGATAACATATTAATGAGTATAAAAAATTTTAATTTGGTAATAATTTAAGCCTTTTCATTTTTTAGTGAAAAAATAAAATAAAATTTCAAATTTTCAAATTTTATTTTTTTTATATCAGTCATATTTGATATAATAAAACATTTATTACTAATAATATTTTTTATTTATAAAATATATTAAATTTAAAATTATATAATATAATTTTAAATTTTATGTCGGTGCACACAAAAAACGCGCTCATCCCTGTTGAACAGCTTTCACAAGTTCCGATACACGGTGGAAGTAAAAATGCTACAAAATAAATCAATATATATTTCTGAAAAATAATACTCTATTTCCGATTTTTTCACTATGATATTTTAATACTTTAATTTTATTTATTTATTTACTTCTATTTTATAAAATTAATTAATAATAAAATATTTATTAATATAGATGAATAATATAAAAAATTTAAATATAAATTATTTTTAATTTTTATATAAAATATTAAATTAAGAAAATAGTAAAAATAAAATTTAAAAAAAAGTGTAAATATGAAATTAGTCTTCCACTTTTTTTAAAAAAAATTTAGCTTTTTTTTATGTTCTATATTTTTAAATGTGTTAAAATATTCATTAAATACTTCTCTCTTAACATACGTTTAACTAGAAAATATGTCTGTACATTGCACAAATTTATTTTATTTTTATTAAATTAATTTATTTTAAAATATAAAATATATAATTTAAATATAATTACATTGAAGAAGAGTATAAAATACTTTTTATATGCAACATTTTTTGTATATCCTATATATTTGTCATCCTCTTCAATAATAAGAATTTTTATTCCTTTTGCTAACATTACTCTGAACAATGCAACATATAATTGACTATGACTAAATACAAGTTTTGACAAATATAATTCAACATAATTTAACAGTTGTCCTTGACTTTTATTTATTGTTATTGCATAACATACCTTTATTGAAAATTATTTTCTTCTTAAAAGAAAATGCCACTTGAAGTGCTGTTAAAACTATCTGCGAAATAAGTATTTTAGCACTAATGTTGTTTCCTGTAATTATTTTTGTTAAAAAATTTTAATGATGATATTAACAAATATTTTATTTTATAAATAAATAAATTATTACTATCATAATTTTATTAAAAATGACAATAATAAAAATTTCAGTATAAATACATAAAAAAATTATACGATAATGTATGAAAATTAAAATATATTATTTTTTGTATTTTTATATAAATAAATTTATTTACAAACAATATTATACATATTGGAATAGTATTGTAAAATTAAAATATGTATAATTTAGTGATGTTACATTAGAATGTTCTTATAATTTAAACATTACATGATACATTACTTGGTCCTACAAAAAAAAGTCAATATTCAGTGAATTTGATTTAAATATTTTTTTAAAATTAAAAAATATATAATTTTAAGAATATAACATAATAAATAATTATATTAATAAAAAAATATTTATATTGATTTCATATTTTTATGTATAATACCTGTATTTTGATTTATATTTTGGGAACTAATTTTAAGTCCAGAAAATGATTGAATTTTTTCATTACGAAGCATTGTTCTATGTGTTTGCAATTGAATGTTCTCAGAAAAATTTTCAAAAATATTAGAACTTATATTCCAATCTGAAAATTTTGAATAATCATATAGTTAGAATATGAAATTCTAATAAATAAATATAATTTTATATGTTAATATAAAAAATGCTTCTATAACATTTTAAACACTAACCTCTATCTTCGTTGGATTGAAAGTCTTGCGATAGTTGTAAATATTTAGACTTCATACTCAAGAAATTTTAAAAGTATGTAAAGAGAAATATTCGTTAACTTTTGAAACAAATGATATATATATATATATATATATATAAATTAAATATAATATTTGAACTTAATTCAGAGTTAAAACGTTACATTTTTTTCACTTATTCATTCAATTACAATATAAAAGTTTTAAATATGAAAATAGAACAGTTACCTAAAGATTTAAAAATCAAATCAAATTTATTTTCATTGTTATGATTTTTAATAATGTTTAATTTAGTTTAATTGTTATAATTAATTAGTTTTAATTGGAGAATTTTGAATTTATCATTCTCATTATAACATTTTATAAAAAGAAACATTGCAACAAAATCATTAAGGATAAATGTTGTTAATTTTTAATTTAAAAAAATTAAATTTGTCATCATAATTATTATATATAAAATATTATCTACGTTAACAGGTTATACATAATTATGATATATCAATTCTTATTAAATCATTTGAAAATAATAATAGAAGAAGAGAAAAAAAGAGTTAATTTTTTTTTAATTAAGATTTAGGTAAAAATTAAAAGAAAAGAATGATTGTATTTAATATAAAAATTAATTTTTATATTATTAAAATTACAGATGTTGATATAATATAAAATTTATATAAGTCACATATAAGATTTATCTAAGAACAAAAATCATACATAATAAAGTAAGAGAGAGATATATAATAAAATAATAAAATTATTTTATAAAAAGACGTAAATATTTAGTGACATTTTACTTTTGAGATTCTACACAATATTAAAAGTAGTTATACAATATTTCAATAAAAATGGTTCAATCTTCGAAATCTTTCATTATTGCTTTATATTCACCATTTTTTGCTTCGTCTTCCTCATATTGCAACTTAAAAGAAAATATCAAATGTAAATTACTGTATGATTTAAGAATTTGAACAATACATTATAAATTTATAATGTATACATTAATTTTCTCTTTCTTTTTGGTAAATTTGGTGTTTTCACATTTGAAAATATATGTGAACAACTAGCCAAGTCATTTTCTTTTGTTATTGTATATGTATTGTCTAAACCTTCTTCTTTCTCAATCTGTAAATATTAGACAATAAAAATAAAATTATTTATCATCATATCTATAAACATTATAGATAAAAGTAATGAAACTCCAATTTAATCTTCTATATTACCTTTACTATTAGCTTCACAATTTTATGTGCCGTGAAGCTTTGTCATCCACGACATTCAAAGTAAGTACTCATTTTTATTTGAAAAATATGTGAAGTGCAATAATCTTTAAAAGTTGTGGAGGCAACCTTAACCCTTCACCATCACCCTTAAAAAAATTATCACATAAAAATAGTTATATATTTTAATATATTTTATTGATATAATCAATCATTTGATTAAATTTTTCAATAAGTTAGAACTTAACATTTTTGCTTACAATATCAGATGTTGCAATAAGATCTTTTAACTTTACTTGTGCTAATTGTTCAACAACTTCATCAAATAAAACAAATATAGTTGAATCCATAAAATCTTTAACATTAAGCTCAAGATGAAACATGTAATTTATATAAATCAAGGTAATAATATATAATTCAATTTATTTTAACATGAAAATTTAAAAATTAGAATATATAGTGATAAATTAATTACCTTGTCATTGGATAATCAATGTCTTTATAACATGATTCACATTTAAAATTTGTAGTTATGAAAGAAATTTTCTTATTGTAATGGGGGCAAGAAATATAATATCAATCACTTTTAAACAATATATCGTTCACAGTTGCAATACAACCATTGTATTATCACATTGTATTGAGTAATGTCACATTAATTAGTAGGTGTAGTCAATTTTACATCTATTACAATAAAAAATTATGTTAAACTAATTAATAAAACAATTTAAATATGCAAATTTGTCTTTTATTATAAATTTAATTTAACAACATATATTATAAACTATTAATTTTGTAAGTTTAATTTTTTTAATTCAAAAAAATAATTCTTGTGACATTACTCAATAATTTTTTTAAGCATTTGTTCATTTTTGAACTAATTGGGTATTTTATATTACAATAAAAAAATTATGTTAAACTAATTAATAAAATAATTTAAATATACAAATTTATCTTTTATTATAAATTTAATTTAAAAACATATATTATAAACTAATAATTTTATAAGTTTAATGTTTTTAATTCAAAATATATTTTAGTGTTTTAAGTACATAATAAAATATAGATTATAT